CAATAAAGGTTTCTGTCTAGTGGGGTGGCTGCCTCAGCTCCTGCCGTGGAGGGACAGGGCTTGGGAGGAAGATCAGGATGTGCCCTGTGGAGATAACTCCCCCACTGTGCTCCCATCCCAGAGGGAATTCCTTAATTTGGGGGGAAAATGCTTTTTATTCCTTGTGAAACCCAGTGCTGGTGGGTGAGCTCGCTGTGGGCATGGAGGGAGGTCTGGGGGTGCTCTGTGGGGTGTTCCCAGGCTGGGGGAGCCCTCAGCTCCTCTTACCTGAGATCCCTCACTCCTGAGGACAGGGGGAGCCAGGTCCCAAAGCGTTCTCACGTTCCAGAGAACACCAGGGCAGGGAGCACGGTTCCTGTTTATAATAACAGGGAGCACGGTTCCCGTTTACCAGAGCAGGGAGCACGGTTCCCGTTCACCAGAGCAGGGAGCACGGTTCCCGTTTACCGGAACAGGGAGCACGGTTCCCCGTTTATCAGAGCACGGTTCCCCGTTTATCAGAGCACGGTTCCCCGTTTATCAGAACAGGGAGCACGGTTCCCGTTCACCAGAACAAGGAGCACGGTTCCCGTTTATCAGAACAGGGAGCACGGTTCCCGTTTATCAGAGCAGGGAGCACGGTTCCCGTTTACCAGAGCACAGTTCCCCATTTCCCAGAACAGGGAGCACGGTTCCCGTTAACCAGAACAGGGAGCACGGTTCCCGTTTACCAGAGCACGGTTCCCGTTTTCCCCGTGTTCCCCGTGAGCACCGCGGGTTTCCCGCCTGCCTGCGGCCCCCGTTCACCAGGATGCAGCAGAATTTGATCCGGGGAATCACCAGCCAAATGCCAAATGCCAAATGCCAGAGCATGGCAGGCGTTCCCTGGCTGGCCAGGGCGGTTTCACCTCCAGCTCCAGGGGATTTGCTCCATTTAGGGTTTGTCACTGTTTTGTGTCTCCCTGGGGATCCGGGGGCTGTGCCCCCTGTCCCTGTCCCTGCTGACGCCCCAGCAGGTGCAGCTTTCACCCCCGTGCACGGGACAGTGATCATTTCATCTCCCTGCTGTTCCCTGCCAAGGCTCTCGGCTGCCAGGGGAGGTGACCGGGGCTGTGCCAGTGTCCAGCAGGGCCACCAGCCCTGGCCACGTGAGTGAGGGGACACCTGGGGGCTCGGGGTGCCCACCCAGGCCCTGTTTGCAGGGGCAGTGGGTGAAAGGATGGATGGAAATCCCATAGCCCCGGCTGTTGCCGGGCTGGGCAAAGGGCACATAGTGAGAAACATTTCCTGCATTCTCCTCCTGCCCAGGCTTTGGGTTTCACACTCCCAAAAGGCTCCTGGAAGTCACCAGGTCATTCCCGGAGCAGCAGGGGGATCTCACTCACGTGGATGCACGGAATGACACCAGAACAGCTCGAAAAAAGCAGAATTTGGGGGGTGATTCATGATGGCACAGATCTGCTCATCCTGAGGCCCGCAGGAACGGGCTGTGCTGCCCTGGGGGCTCCATTGCTGACCTTCCCAGGATGTTCTGGGAACGTCACCCCCCCGTGACGTTTCCCCTCTGTGCACAGACACCAAAATTCCTTTTTTAGGCTCCCATTTCTGCTTCCCAGAGTTTGGCAGGAGATGGGAGCGAGGGCTTTTCCCTTATAAGTCTTCACAAACCCCAAAGGCTTCTGTGCACTCAAACCAACGGGTGCAGGCACAGNCCTGCAGAGCAGTGGGGCTGGTGCTTGGGATCTCATCCTCTCCTCTGGTTCTTGGGATCTCTCCCAATTTGACACATTCATCCTCTCCTCTGGTGTTTGGGATCTCTCACAGCTTGAGGCACTCATCCTTCCACTCTGGTGTTTGGGATCTCTCCCAATTTGACACATTCATCCTTCCACTCTGGTGTTTGGGATCTCTCCTAATTTGAGGCACTCATCCTCTCCTCTGGAATGAGGAGCCCAGGGCAGCTCCCCCAGGCTGCTGTGTGGGCACAGCCCCAGCCCCTCTCCCCCCACAGCCAGAGAACATCATGCTGCTGGACAAGAACGTGCCAAACCCTCGCATCAAACTCATCGACTTCGGCATCGCCCACAAGATCGAGGCTGGCAACGAGTTCAAGAATATCTTTGGGACCCCAGAGTTTGTAGGTGAGCATTCCTGGGGGCTCCTTGGGGTACTAAAAGCTTTGGATTAACCCTGGAGAGACACCCAGCACTGTGGTGCTGCTGCCAGGATGTGTCCATGGGGCTTCCTTCCCCCACAATAAATCCATTTTTCCTTTTTCCTCCTAAAGCCCCAGAAATTGTGAACTACGAGCCCCTGGGGCTGGAGGCTGACATGTGGTGAGTGATTCCCCTCCTGAGCCCCTTCCATGGCTCCAGCAGCCAAACCCCTGGTGCCAAAAGCTCTGTGGGACTTCATCCTCCTCTGTGGGACTTCATCCTCCTCTGTGGGACTTCATCCTCCTCTGTGGGACTTCATCCTCCTCTCCCTCTCTCTTCCAGGAGCATCGGGGTCATCACCTACATCCTGTGAGTATGAGGCAGCTCTGGAGGGGACAGGGCTGCAGGATGAGCCCCCACCCCGGGCTGGAGCCTTTTTGGGGTGTCCCAACCCACTCTCTCCTCAGGCTGAGCGGAGCCTCCCCGTTCCTGGGGGAGACAAAGCAGGAGACGCTGACCAACATCTCTGCTGTCAACTACGACTTCGATGAGGAATATTTCAGCAACACCAGCGAGCTGGCCAAGGACTTCATCCGCCGCCTGCTGGTCAAGGACCCCAAGTGAGGGACAGGAGCAGAGCTGGGGAGGGGACAGTCCCCTTTGAGGGACAGGAGCAGAGCTGGGGTGTCTGGGAGAGGGGACAGTCCCCAGTGTGGGACAGGAGCAGAGCTGGGG